CTGCATCTGCAATAGGAGCCACTGCCTTCAGGGACTCCTCTGAAAATATTAGCTTGCATGCCAGGGGATTTCAGACAAGTTAACAACAGACAATGGTCCACAGTTCGCAAGTTGCTCTTGTCAGCAGTTCTTTTTGACGTATCTATTCAAGCATACCCTCTCAGGCTTAGAAAGCAGCCAGCAAAATCTGTGCCAATAGCTAATACTTTGCTATAAAATAAAAGCTCTGACAAACTCAGAGGCTCCATATGTAGTATTACTGTGATCCTGCAGTTCATCTCACAAAATTGGTTCTAGCTTTTTTTAAATCCACAGTTCAGAAATTCATGAGCAGAAGGTGAAGAAAATGAATTGCCAGCTGAATAGTCAGTGACCTTTCTGAGGCAAAGACAATTAACCTTGAAATAACCATAAAGGAGCTTTGCCCCATGGTATTAGAACAGAACAAACATTTTTACAAAAATGCCAAACAGTTGTCCTCTGCAGGTAGGGGAATGCTCTTCTCTGAGCTTTAGGAATGAGATGCACATGCTAGTGGTTATCACCTCACAAGTTCCTGCAGTATACACTAGTTTGTTTCCCACGGTGGGGAACCTTGAAAAGCAGGGATCATCATCATCATGGAGAGGGTTAGTGAGTCCACACATCTCGACACTGCTGTTCTGTGCCCTTTTAGGTGTCCCAGGGGATCACAGACATCCACATAAGGCAGGCAGGCATGACACAGAAGACCAGGACTCTTCTGGCCTGGCTGCTGGATACCAGATGAAATACCAAGGGCATCTAAAGCAGCCCCGGGCTCCTATCTTCAGGCAACCAGATCCTGCCAAGGATGGCATATTGTGAAATCCTGTGTTGGGCAAGTTGAAATAGACATGCTGGCTGCAGATAGCACTTCTCACTGAAGCCTGCTATCCTACCTCCTGGTCCTTTTTGTTACCTTCACCACTATTAAATCAGGGCCAACAACAGTGGTGCCAGCTCCCCTGAAATGTAGCCCTTCAGAGGACAGATCCCTGCTTTGAGCCACTGTGAAGCATTTTTCCTTTCTCTCCTTCTGAGGCCCAACATCAGTGAGGCATGAGGGTCCCAGTCCAGTGTCCTCATCTGCCAGCCACTTGCTAGCGATATCTCTCAACAAAAGACCTATTAAGCATTTGTGCACATAGGAGCTTTGGAGAAAGCCTTCTTGGTGCTCTTTTTTTGGGAGAGACAGCAGCTCCCCATCACTCCTTGTTTGATAGGGCACTTACAGCAATTAAAGGAGGAAACTGCTCAGGGTGTTTACCTTACAGCTTGCAGTTTCTTACAATATCACTCTGTGATAAGCATGCATGGAGCCAAGTAAAGCTGCTTCTGCAGCACATCCTCATGCCATTCCACCCCTGAGGATACACATATGAGGGGCACACAGATGCACAGGGAGCTACGAGGGATATTGTCTTAGCAGCAGGGAGTAAAGTCTGAGCTGTGCACGCAAGTATTTGCCCTGCCCTTCAAGTGCTTGTCCTATTCACCCTGAGCTCTGCGTGGCTGTGGCTTCCCAGTTAGCCAGATCTGACCTGGTCTGAAGCTTTCTCAGGTTTCTCTTTGCAGTCTGCTAGCCCAGCTTCTCCCCAGCTTGCTGGAGCAGAAAACAAATAACCAGGGGAGTAGCAGTTCAAGGCAAAACTGGGTCGATGAACGTTTACGCTCAATTAACACATGTCACCATTCTGTCTCCGCAACTACAGTGAATGCACCGAAAGAGTGAGAACAACCTGAATTAAGGCTGCCATGTAACGTGAAACCTTTGCTTCTTGGCTGAGCGTTTCCTGTGGTGGTGCTGAATTTATGCTCTGCATGGCTATCATGCTGTGACTGAGTGACTCGGATTTCTGATGTCTGCTTTAATGACCATGCTTTCCTTCTTGATTTTTGCCCTTCTCTTCAACTTGATCGGAAGCACGTCTGCACTTACGAAGTATTTCACTTTTGGCCTAGGGGCTGATCCTGTGGTGCATGGCTAGTCCATCGACCTTGGTATGTCTGTGAGGAGCTGCAAGTGCCTGGAGGGTGCTAACTGGCGGTAAAGCATCCTTCCCCTGAGGTGCCCAGTGCCCTGACACAGCAAGCAGTGCAGTTCAGTCAATCTCTGGCTGAAATGGGTCAGCACAGAACAGGTTTGCAACTACTAAGGTGTGCACAGATTTCAAAACGCCTGCCCCCCTCCATCTTTTGGGAAGACGTGTGCATGTGGGTGCTGTAGAGGCATAGGGTGGGTTGAGGATCACAGCTGCACAATCTGCTGATATTTGCAACCAATTTTTCACAAATGCAGAAACTCCCTCTCTGTTCTGATCTTACACATTTGCATTTTCTCTTTCAGAACCTCTACTTGCTTCTTCCTTTGGGTCTCTTCATGCATATATGTCTGATCTGTATTATCCCTTTGTTTGAATTGTAAGCCCTTCAGAGCAGCAATCATGTCTCCATCTGTGTCTTGACAAGAGACTTACATGATAGGTTGGCTTAAAACCACCCGTCTGTAACTGAGCTATCCTAGGCTTTTGCAAGGAATGAACTTAAGGAAGGAAAGTTTTCTTTTTGCTGCATAACAATCTGATCCGTTTGCCAGCTTTTCTTCATGAAAAAAGTCTTTCCCAGGACTGATGTGAATTCAAAGTCTGCTGGTCTCAAATATTTTTAATAATTAGTTCATTATTTAATAATTATTAAATAAGTAATAATTTTTTAATAATTACTAAATATATTTGGGGGAGGTTAGCTTGATTTTTTATTTCTCATCCTTCCAGGTACTACAGGTACACACATTTGCATATACGTATGATGATGAGAGAATCTCGTCCCTCATTACATGAACATATATATATATATTTATATACACATGAAGGAAGAGCTTCTCATTAATTTTCTTGGTCACTGCAGCAGGGACTATAAGTAGAAGAAATATCATGAGATTGACAGTAAAAATCACTAGAGTGTTCAACTCTTTAACTAAAAGTAGGTCTCTGTGGTCACCCTGGCTGGGCTCTGAAGTAAGTCCTTCCACATCCTTTGCCTCTCCTCCATCCTTCTTATTCTGTGATCGGAAGTCTACCTTCGTGGAAAATGAATCCATCAGGTTTCAGTAGTCTCCTGACAAGCCAAGCATAAAACAAAGAGAGCTGCTGCTCCGTGCTCACGCGTACACTGCCGTCTTCTGGGAAGCAATGACGAGAGGCTCAGGGCTGACTGCGGTGCTGTGAGGAATTACGCATGTGGTCGTCATCAAATACCAAACTATGTCTACCTGTATTATGTTAAGAGCACAGAACCCACAGTTTCTCCACAGGCAGCCCAAATTAGCCCTTCGTTAGATGCCTGTAGATACCATTTTTCTTCTTGATTTACATGTTGTAACAGTCACAGTCCCCGTTCTGCGAGGCAGATAAGCAGGGAAAATCCTTTACGCCTTAATGGGATTCGCTGGAGTGTGAGTTCAGGTCCCCCAGTGCCGCCAGGGACAGAATAAAATTTGCTTGGTCATTTTGTGAGCTGGGGATCATTTCCATAGCAGCACTGTGAATATAACACTGCTACAAGTGGGCATGAGTTGTGAGGAAGAAATCGTTCATCTGCATGATAGATCGGTGTCTTCTGGAATTTAAATATTAATTGAAAATTCAAGGTCAGAGGGCAGCTGACACTTGACTTTGCTCTCTTTCCTCTATCCATGGCTTTGATCATGCTACATCTTTCTTTGTGCCTGGTGTTCGAGAGAGTACCCCAGGGTCATGGACTGTTTCCTAGTCAAGAGATATAAACGTATTGGCTTAAATATCTGAGGCCCAAGCTTTAGCAGGGAGTGGGGGTTTGAAGGGAGAGGGGGGACTGTTTGCTTCATGCTTTTCACATTTCCCACATAACCCAAAGCAGACTAAACAAAACCAGTGTGAAATCTCATGGCTTGATGCTGCTATGGTTATATTTTTTAAGCTGTCATCCATTCATTTATACTTATGTTTATTCCCTGGATTTACAGCTTTTTTCAGTCTTTTCTTGTGGGGAGGTGGCACGGGGAGCAGTTGAAACCTTTTGAAAAGGGATTGCAGTGAGCAGTGGCCTATGATTAAAGCCCAGTGTTTTTCCTTGATGCCGCTCCTCGGCAGCAGTGTCACACATGGTAGCATTTAGGAGCCCTTCACAGCTGAGGTGTTTCAAACACTAATGAATGGAAGTTTGGCCATATAATGCAGGCAAGCTTTAAGGCATGCTTTGCTGAATGGTGTACTGTAGTGGCCTGGGAAAGGAAGAGAGTTATAAATTGTGTCAGTTAGCCACCCAGACAAAATGAAGCCATGTGGAAAATCAAATCTATTAAAGTATGAAGACTGTTATAAGCTGTTTTAAGCTGGTCATTCTTCAAAGGTCTCAGTTGGCTGAGGGGGTAAATTCCTCTTCTTCCTAGATCTTTTTCACGTGCTGTCTTAGGCAATGATGTTCAGCCTTTGATAAAAAACAACTTTTCACTGACAGCCCCTTTCATTAGAAATGTTTATTGCCCCCAGTTTACCACACGTGTCCTGAAAGGTACTGCACATTTGTTAAATAAGCAGTGTAAGAGCATCACATTTGGTCAGGCCTGCTGAAAGCAAACATGAAGGCAGCACTAGGGCGGAGGAGAACAGCCGATAAGGAGGAGAAGGCTTCCCAGGGCCCTAGTTTACCTGCTCAAAATGCTTTCCGTTTCCTAGCTGTTGATGTCTGCTGGCCGTAAGAGAACCTTGACAGAGCATGATACAGATTACTTTTTCTTGGCACCCCCTGGGGTAGGTGGAAAGCCTGGTAGGGAAAAGTGGGGGGATCAGAGAGCAGGGGACCTACACCTCCTTCCCAAGGTGGCTTCTTGAGATGTCACAGCAGCTGTAAAGGGCATTTTGTTAGCTCAGGAGGTAATTATCAGCAGAGTAAGACACACAGTTGCCACAGCATTTATTTTTTCTGCTTGTGTGTTCTAGGAAGAGACTGAAGAAACGTCCTCACAAGAGTCTGCAGAGGAAGACTAGGAGACCGCACCATGCAATTTCTACCTCATCAGCAGTTGGGTCTTTTGAAGGGAGAAGACACTGCCTTGACCGCTGATTTTCTATTGCCATGGTCTTTCCACTTTTGCCTGGGGGGGGGCGGGGGCGGGAAATCAAATAACCTTAAAAAGGATTTGACTAATCATCTTTTTTGTAATCCCTTCACAGTCCCAGGTTTAGTGAAAAACTGCTGTAACACAAAGGGGGCACAGATTAACGATGCAACTTTTAATTACTGTTTTCTTTTTTCTTAACCTACTAATAGTTCATTTGAGCTGCTAAGTAAGGGTGAATGGGTCAAAAAGAGCTCCAAATCAGGTTTATGTCATTCACTGCACTGCATATAAACAATTAACTTGTAACATAGTCATTATAATGGGCATTGAAATAGGAAAGGCTGAGTGTGTAACACTAAAGCCTTGCAACTCTTCCAGCAACCCACTCCCTGCTTAGTGAACTCCCTGTTTTAGAACACCAAAGATAGGGAATAGATACTACTCTTTTTCTCTTGTAACCTTCTTGTAGACTTGTACTTGATTTTTTTTTGTTGTTTTTTTTTTTTAAGACTTACTGTTATTTCAGGAAAAAAAATGAAAGCTGATCTTTCACTTCATTCAGCTGGTAAGCAGAAGAAAGAAATCAACACGAAAAAGGTACTTTCATTTTGCAAAAGGGAAGAAAGACAAAGATACGTTGTATAGTTATAGATACAAACATATCAGCAGAAGTAGTAGTATACAAAATGAACAGCCCTCATCTTCTGGACAATAGGAAGCCAGAGTTGGCTTTCTGTAGATCCAGGCATTTTCTATGGAAACAAAAATGATTGACACCAAACACCTTATGCCATTAACGACTAAGTCTTTATTGAGAAAAGTGTTTTAAAACATACAGAAAGGTACCTCAAAATTAACCATGGATTTATCCAAACAAAAATGATCCAGAAGTTTTGCTTAGTTTCGACTAATTCCACTCGCCCCGTACCAGTATTTCAAAAGAATTGCATCTCTCCTCAGTACTCATCAGTCCTGATGTAAGAACAAACACCACGTACCTCAGCTAAGCTCGTGCATTACTTTAAGCAATTTATTTTGACATAGGATGGTTTGCTGAGCACCTCGGTGCCAGTGACATTTTTCCATCTTTCAAAGCAGCACTTTTAGCACCACATGCAATATTACCCCACTATTCAATGCTACCTCTGATTTTTACAAATAACTCAACAGACTGATAAATACATGCTGCTATACACATTCAATGCAGGAAATTTTTACTGGGTAGATAATCACGAGTATCTGCATTTTCCCCTTATTTCTACTTCAACACTTAATTGGAGTTAAGGAAGCAGTATCTTTATTGTGTTTTGGCATGACTATGTATTTTTCTTTCTCTTGGTTTGATTTTTTGTTTTTCTTTTGTTTTGGTTTGTTTTGTTTTTAATGTACTTACCCTATTCTCTGCTAGACTTCTGTGTAATGTACTGTTAACTTGAATATATTTTTGTACTGAATTGCTGATGGGTTTGTAAGGATAATTTTCTTCAATGACACTACATGACATAGAAAAAAATTTAGCTGTAATGTTTAAATATTACTGTCCAAGTTTGTACCTCAAATGAATTGTTTAAAGAAATGGACTAATTGATTGACAAAGACCTACCTCCAGACTTTAAATGGAATGAACTTGTTACTTTCAGCATTAGTTTTGAGACGTTTGAAACAGTTAGGACTGCAACTAATCCCTAATTGAAAACTATTTTTGTAAAATAACTTGTGGAAAATGAACACATTTTAAATTACTTTCGTATTAAAAAAAAAAAAAAGAACAAAAAAAAAACCTTCAAAGAAACTTGAAGCTTTGTAGGTGGGAAGCAACAAGCTCAGCTTTTGCATAATGCAATCACAAATATGTGTTTAAAAAAAAAAGAAATTAGTAGATTGTAAGAAAATACTTGACAAGTATTTTCGTGTATTTTACACAAATGTGATTTTGTAATATGTTTCAGCCAGATTTATTTTAAATGCTTCTTATGTAGAGGTTTTTTTTGTTCTCCTCTCTCTCACTTTTGTTGTTCCTTCTCTTTCCTCTGATTTTGCTTTCTCTGGTTCTGTTTTATTTCCGTTCTTCCTCTCTTTCCTAGTCAGTACTTTTTACCATTGTATTAATAACTGGGCCAGGGGTAGTTTCTCAGGAAGGCGTCTGTTCGTATGGCTTTAGTACCGAGCCAAATGCAGTTGAAGATAACTACTTACTGGCTTCTTCCAAGAGGCAATGTCAAGAAATACGGACCTCCTTGAAAGCCCACAGAGGGTTCAGTGGCGGAAATCGCTGAGAAAGAGCTGATCAGAGTATTACAACAAGACACGTTAATACTGAGTGAAAGAGAAATAATCCTAGCTATACGGTAGTTCTAACAGGCCAAATCCAGTGTCACTTGAAGGTAGTAGAAGGAATTCTGCTGACTTCAAAAGGCATTGAACCAAGCCTTAAGCAAGTCCGTTCTGGGGTTTTATTTTTGCATTTTTTAAAACCACAGTATTCAGTGGATGACACAGAAATAATGGCTGAGTGTGTGTCACGCTTCAGCCTCCAAGAGACTTACCACTCTGATGAACTGAATCTTTTATTTTCTATATATTGTAGTACAATCAAAACACATTACTACCTCTTAGGGCCTACTATACCTCATTTTTTCAGACTGAAAAATTGCATGTGGCCATTGAATCAGTGAGAACATCATAAAATTTTTTATATATATAGTTTATTTTTGTGGGAGATAAATTTTATACGACTGTTCTTTGCTGTCAGTGGTCACTGCTAACTAAGACTGGACATTTAACTCTTTACCATTTCTGCAAGAGAGGTGTGTTTGCAGGAAAAAGAAAAAAACCGCTTCAAGATGTTTAACTACAGTTTACTTTTTCTTTTGAGTGTCTTCTAACTTTACGCTTTGTTCTTCGTGTAGAGTTGCTGTCTATGATTGTACTTCAAATCGCTTGCTTGTTGAAAATGTTCCTTTAATGGATTATCACAGTCTGTTCAGCACAATAAACATAATAGCCTCTGTGATCCCCATGTTGTTTGATTCTTAGACTTTTGTCACAGTTCCATAAAATGGGTAATAAAGTTTGGTCACAGTGACCAAATTTGTAAAAGCTTTGCATGCGAGGAGTCTTTTTTTTGGTCCCAGGACCATAGGCATGTGCCTGAGAAGTGTGTTTGCTTTTAGGGGCCCAGGGCTGGATGCTCAGCAGATGGACACATCCTGTGACTCTCCCCTAAAGGTGAGGCACCCATTCCTGGCCTGGGACTCACTGTGCCAAGCTAAGGCCTAAGCCATGCATTTTGGATGTGGCGATCTTGCCCATCAGAGAGGAAACACCATTGCACGAGCCAGGCTGAAATGGGTTTTGTTGGCTGGCCTCAGACCTGCCTCTTGGGGACCCACCAAGATGATGAGCCTTCTCCTCTTTTCAGGCAAGATCACAATTTGCATCCAAGTTTATGGAGTCTTCATTTTGCATCCATTAGGTTAAAAAGAGCAGGTACTCAGAGCAGCAGAGACAGGATTATGGTCTGGGGCACAAACTGAGGAGCTCAGAAAACTCAGCATTAAAAGCCTCCCTCTCTCCTCCTCTCCCCCCACCAAGACTGTCACTGGCAAGTTGGGCAGGATGCTTCTGCCGCCTTGTCTTCATTTGCTCTTACATGGTCCCCCTGCCTGTTACAGAGTGTCCATTGATTCATATTTGCAAATCTGCCTCTCTCACCTAGGGTAGTTGTTCGGATACTAATTCCTCAGATGTTTAGGTTTACACATTCTTTGTGTTCACTGAGTTGCAAACTCTCCCCCTAATCTCCTTTGGCCTAGTAACCTCTGCTTTCCCAAGGGCTTCACAGCATGTTCTCTTTGGACTTGGTTATTTGTGAAATAACCAAAATACAGTCACAAAGAAAGCATAAAGAAGTAACACCCATTCAGTCCTGAGTCAGAGATGTGAGTAATTGCATTCATCACATTATGTACCTTCCTTTCTCACCCTTCTCGGTGGTATTAAAGAATCATTCTACTTTTCAGACTTCCTGGTGGTCTTCTTCCCTGTGGCTGCTATCACTCAGCTCTTCCTGTTGCTTTATCTGATGTGATGCTCCAGCTGTAACCCACCCACCTAATGCATCAGCCAAGTAGCTGAACTTCTGCTACCCTCTGCTTAACTCCCCTCTCCTTATTAGTCATTCCTCCAGCCTGCTTCACTCCCACTTCCCTTCTTGGGGCATCCTCCAATAAACTTCTGCACGCTTCATGCCACAGTGGGACTATATGTGTGTATAAAACTAATCAGCTTCTGCAGGATGAAGGCCTGTGTTTGTCTAGCAGCCAGGAGTGCTTTATCCAAGATGCCTGTGCCAAGGGTCATATTAAGTTTCTGCTATTGCTTTCCACTCCCATCACATCACGTCCACACAGAGACGGGGAATTACTGAAAACTGGCACTGCCAGTGCCTTGCACAACACTTTAATTGTCTGTAGCTTTTTTGAAACCCAAAACATCTGCTGTCATCATCATTACAGACAGGATCCAGCACAACGGCAACGTATTTCTCTGATCACAAGAGAGGAGTCAGATTTGTCACACCTCAAACTTCACCTGAAGCCTGAATGAAGGAATGTTTCTCATCCTGGCACCTCTGCATACACGGATGAAGAACTTCTGCCACTCAGTTCTTTTTTTTTAATTTCCCACCGTCTTTCTGATCACATTGTTAAATGTACAAAAGTACTTTGTCATATGGCCTTCAGTAGAAATAAAGTTCCAGTTTCTATATGCCTTCTTAATTCAGAAATAATACCAATTGAAGCTTTGTTGAACTGGTTGCCCAGAGAAGCTGTGGCTGCCCCATCCCTGGCAGTGTTCAAGGCCAGGTTTGATGGGGCTGTGAGCAACTGGGACTAGTGGAAGGTGTCCCTGCCCATGGCAGGGACATTGGAACCAGATTAGGTTTGAGGTCCCTTCCAACCCAAACCATTACATCTACTTGCTCAGTCAAATGAATGTCTGACACT